GCTCAGGCCCGTTGGTTTTTGAACCGCCGCGCTTTCACCACGGCCAAAGGACGGCTTCCCTGCCGAAGCGACCTTCTGGTCCTCCCGAGATTGTGAATCATCTTGGGCTGGAACAGATGGCGCTGCAAGAGATCTCCCCAGAGTGTGGCAAGAACTCGCCTCATCCGCTGTCTCAGCTCGTCGCAGTGTGCCCGCCAAGGGAGGCGGACCTGAACCGGCAGCGTGCTGATCAGAGGGGGCACGTCGGGGATGCGGGGGTGAACGAGAGCGGTCCAGACGTAGAGCAGGTGCCACAGCGGGCTCTGCAGCAAGACTTCCCCCGAGGTCTGCGCTTTGGCCGGCTGCACCTGCTAGATGTGGGGTATCCTCAACGCAAGGCTGAAGGCCATCAGGAAGAAGAGGAGAGGCGGGACCATCTGTAGCCATCATGGCCTGCTTGGCCGTCCGGCGCTTTTCCTTCTCACGTAAACGTTTTGAACTCGGCGCGCAGTTTGAAGTTTCTCCAACAATTTAACCGGATCATCGAGGTCTTCAGCTTTGCCCTGTGCATCCTGAGGTCGCTCCTTGTTCAGAGCCGCTGGCGCAGAGGGCCTCGCAGCCGCAGACGTCGCAGTGCCCGCTGCCGCGGCAGCCACAGCAGCAGCAGTGCGCCTTGGCGCGTGCTCCCGGATCGCCACCGGTTCAGCCGCCGCCGCCGCCGCCGCCAGTGAGGGGCCATCGGCAGCTATGGCGCTCATCCATGTCTAGCACAGGGAGGCCCAGGAGAGCAGCGAAAGGAATGCGACCGCTTGGGCCTTGGGGTGCGAAGCGCGTCGCCTCCTTTATTTTTTTCGCTCGGGACTCGGTCAGGGACACATCCCCCCCCCGCAGTCGTGCGGGACCCCAGTCCCTTGTCCTTCCTCTAACCCACCTTTGGCGCCACCCCAACATACTTGTGCTATATATGTATATATGTATATATATATATATATATATATATATGTATATATGCGTCGCCCCCCCCCCCCCCCCCCCCCAGGGGCGACGCGCGCACCGAGAAATCTTATAGTGTATGCGTCGTGGCGGGCGCTTTCTGGCCACGCCGCTCGGGAAACAATATATTACAATATGGGTATACTATATGTTCGGGTCGGACGCGCGCCTCTGTGCGTCCCACACCTCCTCTTCAGCCCTTTTCCTTCTCGCCCCCTGTCCACTTTTCTCTCCCCCCTCGGGTCTCGAAGCCCGGCGTGCGGGACGGGATTCCTCCATGTTCGGGACCCCCCTCCCCCTCGTCCCCCCTGCCCCTCGGCCTCCCTCCGCCCCCTCCCTCGCCCTCTTCAGTCGACTCTCGGAGCCCCGCGTGCAGGCGTGCGGGACGGATCCCTCCACATTCGGGGCCCCTCCCCCTCGTCCCCCCCCCTCATCCTACCCCTCCCCCTCTCTCCTCTGTTTTCCCGCCCTCCGCCCTCGGATTTCGAAACCCCGCACACGGGACGGAGTTCTCCATGTTCGGGACCCTTCCTCCTCGTACTCTTTCCTCCCCCGGCTTCCCCCTCCCCTTCCCTCCCCCCCACCTCGCCCCCCGCCGTCGGATCTCAAAGCCCCGCTCGCGTGACGGACTCTTCCATGTTCGGGACCCTGACCCTTCCTCCTCGGCGTCCCTCCCCATCCCCTCGGCCTCCCCACTCCCTCCGTCCTCCCCTCCCTCGCCCTCCGCCCTCGGATCTCGAAGCCCCGCGCGCACGCGTGCGGGACGGTTCGGGACCCCCTCCCCCTTCGTCCTCCACCCCCCTCCTCCCGCCCCCCTCCCCTTCTGCGAGAGAAGCATTCCTCCCTTTCGCCGTCCGCCCTCGGCTCTCGAAACCCCCCGCGCGCAGGCGTGCGGGATGGACTCCTCCATATTCGGGACGCCGTCCAGTGGCCCGGCGCCGTGCAGCCCGTACGCGCTCTTCGGGCCGGAGGCGCGCGCGCCGTTCCGGGGGGCGCGCCGGCCTTGGCGAGTCTGTGCGTTGCCACAGGTCGGCAGGCGCCAACCTCGCACCGACGCAGCTCCTGGCCTGGCCGATCCTCCTGCTTCTGCTCCACCTGCTCCTCCTCCTCCTCCTCCTCCTCGTGCTCCTTCAACTCTCTCTTGTCCCCCTTTCTCCTGCGACGTAGTTCAATCCATTCCCTACCTTTTTTCCCCTCCCCCCTCCTCCTCAACTTTTCGCCTCTCCTCCTCTTTCCTTCTTCTCTCCTCCTCCTCATCCTCCTCTCTCCTCTTTCCTCTCCCTCCTTCACTCCCTCCTCCTCCTCCTCCTCCTCCTCCCCCCCACATCTCGCCTCTTGCCCCACACCACTGCCACCCGCCTGGTTTCATGTCCTCCTGGCCCCGACCGATCCTGGCAGGGCTCAGTGCGGCTCCTCCGATTCGGTTCGGTTTTGTTCGGTTTAGATTAATGCCGAAGCCGAGATGGATCGGCCTCGGATTCCGATCAGGGCTTCGGTTTCTCGACGGAGGAGGAGGAGGAGGAGGAGGAGGAGGAGGAGGAGGAGGAGGTGTCAGTTTCCGCCGATTCGACTTCTCCCGGCTCGGCTGTCGGTTTCCGATTTGGGTTTTCGGGGCCCACAAAGAACCACCACCACCACCACCACCACCACCATCACCACCACCATCACCACCACCACCACCACCACCCCCACCACCACCCCCCCCACCACCCCCACCCCCTCCACCACCCCCCACCTCCCACCACCCACCACCACCACACACCAACACCACCACCACCCACCACCACCATCACCACCACACCACCACCACACCCAAACCACCACCAACCCCCACCACACCACCACCACCCACCCACCACCCACCCACCCCCCACCTACCCACCCACCCACCACCCACCCACCCACCACACCCACCCACCACCCACCCACCACCCACCACCCACCCACCCAACCCACCCACCCACCCACCCACCCACCCACCCACACCACCCACCCACCCACCCACCACCACCCACCCACCCACCACCCACCACCCACCCCACCCACCCCCCACCACCACCACACCAACACCCACACCACCCACAACCACCACCACCACACACCACCACACCACCACCACCACCACCACACCACCACCACCACCACCACCACCAACCACCACACACCACCACACCACCACACCACCACACCACCTCCACCCCCACCACCCCACCACCACCACCACCCACACTACCACCACCACCACCTACCCCCACCACACCACCACCACCACCACCACCCCCCCCACCACCACCCACCCCACCACACCCCCACCGCCCCCACCACCACCCGCAACCACCCACCGCCACCATTATCACATTATCACAACCACCCACCAGCACAGCACCAGCACCGCCCTAGCACCGACCAGCACCAGCACCAGCACCAGCACCACACCACCACCACCACACCACCCACCACACCACCACCACCACTACCACCACCACACCCCCACCCCACCCCCACCCCACCACCACACCACCACCACCCCCACCACCACACCACCACACCACCACATTACCACACCACCACCACCACCATTATTCAACCACCTCCACCCCCACCCCCCCACCACCTCCACCACTATTCACCACCACCACCCCCAACCCCCACCACCACCACCACCACCACCACCACCGCCACCACCACCACCTCCACCACCACCACTACCACCACCACCACCACCACACCCTCCCTCTCCCAGGAAAGAGGAAGGGAAGAGGATGGTGGAGGTAGGGGCAGTGGAGGTTGTGGCGGTGGTGGTGGTGGTGATGGTGGTGTCGGTGGTGGTGGTGGTGGTGGCGGTGGTGGTGTGCATTCTTCGGACCCGCAATGGCCAGGCCGATCCTGGGCCAAGGCCTCCCAGATGGGTGTGTCCAGGCCTCCCAGATGGGATCCGAGTAGACGGGGTCGCAGGATCGCGCGGTATCGCCGACGCATCTTCTCCACGCCGATCTTCTCCACGCCGATCTTCTCCACGCCGATCTTCTCCACGCATCGGGTGGAGCGCGATCTTCTCCACGCCGACGGTGCCGATTCATCGCCGACGGCGCCCCGATACATCGCCGATGCATCGTCGATGCATTGGCGATGCGGCGCGGTCCTCCGATCCCATCTCCTCGGACCACGCCTGGGAGGCTTCCAGAGTGCATGCCGTCCTGCCAAGACAGGAGGGCGCATGCACCGATCCTGGGCCCAGGATGAGCCTGGCCAGGACCCGCGCAGGCGTGTAGTGTCCGCCCTGCTCCGCTCTCCCCGCGCTTCCCTCCTCTCCGTCCGTTCCGGTCTAGTGCTCCGTTCGCCTTCGGAGTCTCCCTCCCGTCGCTCGACCAGCGTCTGATTCCCTCGCGCCCGCGGACCCCAGAGGTCCCCAGGATTCCAAGGGCGAGGGCCCCGCGGCCCCGAGAGGGCGCATCGACGAGGCCCACAGGGCCCAACTCCTCCTCTTCCTCCTCCTCCTCCTCCTCCTCCTCCTCCTCCTCGTCCAAGGTGGAGGCGTCGTGGACGGCCTCGTAGGGTGCTGCCGAAGGCGTCCCTGGCCCAAGGTGTCCCTAGGATCCCTTTCGGGAGGGCCCATTGCGGCCCAGAGGAGGGCGCCTCGACGAGGCCCAGGGGCTCCAAGGTGGAGGTGTCGTGGACGCTCTCGTAGAGCGCTCTGCCGCCCTCCTCCTTTTCCTCCTCCTCCTCCTTTTTATGGTAGACCGGCAAGAGCTGTGTAGCTGTGGCGTCCTCTTCCTCTTTCTCCTCCTCCTCCTCCTTTTTACGGTAGACTGGCAAGAGCTGTGTAGCTGTGGCGTCCTCTTCCTTCTCCTCCTCCTCCTCCTCCTTTTTACGGTAGACCGGCAAGAGCTGTTTAGCTGTGGCCCCTATTCCCCCTTCTTCTTCGTCTTCTTCTTCTTCTTCTTCTTCTCCTTTTTACGGTAGACCGGCAAGAGCTGTGTAGCTGTGGCATCCTGTTCCTCCTTTTCCTCCTCCTCCTTCTCCTCCTTCCTCTATTTACGGCAGACTGACAAGAGCTGTGTAGCTGTGGCGTCCTCTTCTTCCTCCTTCTCCTCCTTTTCGCGGTAGACCGGCAAGAGCTGTGTAGCTGTGGCGTCCTCTTCCTTCTTCTCCTCCTCCTCCTCTGTTGCGTCCTCTTCCTCCTCCTCCTTTTTACGGTAGACCCGCAAGAGCTGCGTAGCTGTGGCGTCCTCTTCCTCCTTCTCCTCCTCCTTTTTACGGAAGACCCGCAAGAGCTGTGTAGCTGTGGCGTCCTCCTCCTCCTCCTTTTTACGGTAGACCGGCAAGAGCTGTGGAGCTGTGGCGTCCTCTTCCTTCTCCTTCTCCTCGTCCTCCTCCTCCTTTTTACGGTAGACCGGCAAGAGCTGTGTAGCTGTGGCGTCCTCTTCCTCCTTCTCCTCCTTCTCCTTCTTTTTACGGTAGACCGGCAAGGGCTGTGTAGCTGTGGCGTCCTCCTCTTCCTTTTCATGGTAGACCAGCAAGAGGTGTGTAGCTGTGGCGTCCTCTTCCTCTTTCTCCTCCTCCTCCTTGTACGGTAGACCGGCAAGAGCTGTGTAGCTGTGGCGTCCTCTTCCTCCTCCTCCTTCTTTTTACGGTAGACCGGCAAGAGCTGTGTAGCTGTGGTGTCCTCCCCTTCCTCCTTCTCCTCGTCCTCCCTTTTTTCGGTAGACCGGCAAGAGCTGTGTAGCTGTGGCGTCCTCTTCCTCTTTCTTCTCCTCCTCCTCCGCCTCCTCCTCCTTTGTTTTTTCGGTAGACCTGCAAGAGCTGTGTAGCTGTGGCGTCCTCCTCCTCCTCCTCTTTTTTTATGGTAGACCAGCAAGAGCTTTGTAGCTGTGGCGTCCTCTTCCTCCTCCTCCTCCTCCTCCTCCTCCTCCTCCTCCTGTTTACGGTAGACCAGCAAGAGCTCTGTAGCTGTGGCGTCCTCCTTCTCCTCCTCCTCCTCCTCTTTACGGTGAACCAGCAAGAGCTGTGTAGCTGTGGCGTCCTATTCCTCCTCCTTCTCCTCCACCTCTTGTTGACGGTAGACCTCTTCCTTTTTACGGTAGACTGGCAAGAGCTGTGTAGCTGTGGCGTCTTCCTACGTCTCCTCCTTCTCCTCCTCCTCCTTCTCCTTCTTTTTACGGTAGACCGGCAAGAGCTGTGTAGCTGTGGTGTCCTCTTCGTCCTCCCTCCTCTTTTTTACGGTAGACTGGCAAGAGCTGTGTAGCTGTGGCGTCCTCCTCCTCCTTCTCCTCCTCCTCCTCCTTTTCACAGTAGACCAGCAAGAGCTGTGTAGCTGTGGCGTCCTCTTCCTCCTTCTCCTCCTCCTCCTCCGCCTCCTCCTCCTTCTTACGGTAGACCGGCAAGAGCTGTGTAGCTGTGGCGGCCTTCTCCTCCTCCTCCTCGTTTTTTCCGGTAGACCGGCAAGAGCTGTGTAGCTGTGGCGTCCTATTCCTCCTTCTCCTCCTCCTCTTCCTCCTCCGTTTTACGGTAGACCCGCAAGAGCTGTGTAGCTGTGGCGTCTTCCTCCTCCTCCTCTTCTTTTTTACGGTAGACCGGCAAGAGCTGTGTAGCTGCGGCGTCCTTTTCCTCCTTCTCCTCCTCCTCCTTTTTACGGTAGACCGGCAAGAGCTGTGTAGCTGTGGCGTCCTCTTCCTCCCCCTTCTCCTCCTCCTCCGCCTCCTCCTCCTCTGTCCTTTTACGGTAGACAGGCAAGAGCTGTGTAGCTGTGGCGTCCTCCTCCTCCTCCTCCTTTTTACGGTAGACCGGCAAGAGCTGTGTAGCTGTGGCGTCCTTTTCTTTCTTCTGCTCTTCCTCCTCCTTTTTACGGTAGACCAGCAAGAGCTGTGTAGCTGTGGCGTCCTCTTCCTCCTCCTCCTTCTCCTTTTTACGGTAGACCGGCAAGAGCTGTGTAGCTGTGGCGTCCTCTCTTCTTCCTCCTTTCCTTTTCGGTAGACCAACAAGAGTTGTGTAGCTGTGGCGCCTCCTCCTTCTTCTCTTTCTTTTTACGGTAGACAGGCAAGAGCTGTGTAGCTGTGGCGTCCTCTTCCTTCCCCTCCTCCTCCTCCTCCTCCTCCTTTTTTCGGAAGACCGGCAATAGCAGTGTAGCTGTGGCGTTCTTTTCCTCCTTCTCCTGCCCCTCCCTCCTTTTTACGGTAGACCGGCAAGAGCTGTGTAGCTGTGGCGTCCTCTTCCTCCTCCTCCTCCTCTTTACGGTAGACCGGCAAGAGCTGCGTAGCTGTGGCGTCCTTATCTTCCTCCTCCTCTTTACGGCAGACTGGCGAGACCCGTGAGCTGTGGCGTCCTCCTCCTCCTTTTTACGGTAGACCCGCAAGAGCTGCGTAGCTGTGGCGTCCTCCTCTTTTTTTTCTCGGTAGACCAACAAGAGCTGTGTAGCTGTGGCGTCCTCTTCCTCCTCCTTTTCTTTTCGGTAGACCAGCAAGAGCTGTGTAGCTGTAGCGTCCTCTTCCTCCTGCTCCTCCTCCTCCTCCTCCTCCTCTTTACGGTGAACCAGCAAGAGCTGCGTAGCTGTGGCGTCCTCTTCCTTCTCCTTTTATGGTAGACAGGCAAGAGCTGTGTAGCTGTGGCGTCCTCTTCCTCCTCCCTCCTCCTTTTTACGGTAGACAGGCAAGAGCTGTGTAGCTGTGGCGTCCTCTTTCTCTTCCTCCTCCTCGAATTCTCCTCCTCCTCCTCCTCCTCCTTCTCCTCCCCCTCTTCCTTCTCCTCCTCGTTCAGGGATGTTCAAGGTTCGGGAGGGGACAAGTCATCATCGATTTCCAGGAAAAAAAGATGGGACGCATGGGAAGCGGGCGTGGAGACGAGCATCCAGAACGTGTGTGAGAAAGTTCCTGGCGAATCCAGAGGACTTGTGTGTGTTTCTTTGTGTGTGTCCGAGAGGCCTGGGGGCCTCTTTCGAGGAGGCGCAGGCAGTCGGGGACAACTCGGCACAAACGCAAACGCTCGCTGGTTCTCAGGAAGTAGTGGGCAAGGTGGGAAATTGAGAGGAAGATGTGATTCTAGGGGGTAGGGAAAAGTACGTGTGATCCAGGGATGTGTGTCGATTTATTCCAGACGCTTCGCGTTCACCGCCCGCCCCTTCCGGCACCAAGACTGGGTGACAATCTTCAGAAGATGTTGGAAGACTCCCCACAGGTGTGCTTTGCATTTTTCCTGCGCTCCCTTTCTCCCCCGTCCCATCGCAGAGAAGGCTCGGGTGCGCCGCGTGTCTGATCGATGCTGAGTTCGTCGATGACTCGTCGGTCCGCCATTCTGAACGACGCCTCCGTGGTATGGGCGCCGGCTCTCCGGAGCCCGCACTCCTCACACCCGAAGCAGGAGGCCGGAGCTGGCTGGAGCGCGGCCCCCGAGGCTGGCCGCGGACGGCCCGCGAGCGGCCCGCCGAAGCAGGCTCACGAGGGCCGGAGAGGGCCCCGGGGAGGGCCCCAGAGGGGGCCTGGAAAGGCACGAGGCGACCTCGTGCTCCTCCTCCTCCTCCTCCGCCTTCTCCTCCTCCTTCTCTTGATCCTCTTCACTATCCTCCCCTCGTCGTCGTCGTTCATCTCATACTGCACCAACTCAGCATTTCCATCCTCCTTCCTCCACCTCCTGATACTCCTCCTCGTCCTGGGCCGCAGCCCCGTCTGAATGCCATCAAAAACCGGGGACGGCTCGGGGACGGTGTGGGCTTCGTCATGGGCCCCAAGCTGGCCCCGGCATCGTCCGAACTCGAAGTTTGCCTCTGGAGACGAATCCCGGACGAGCCCGGAAGTTGGCTGGCAGACGCATCCGGGCGACCTCCGACGAGGCACACATCACCAACGACCCATGGTTTGTGGCTATGTTTGAGCTTACAGGCAAGGCTGGGCCAGGAGGTGCTCTTGCGGGCCTCAGGGGCGAATTGATTTTTGGAGGCGTAGCGCCCCGAGGGCGTATTGGGAACGGTCTGGGGAGGAGGGGGAGGGGGATGAGGAGGAGGGGGAGGAGGAGGAGGAGGAGGAGGAGGAGGAGGGGGAGGAGGAGAAGGAGGAGGAAGAGGAGGAGGAGGAGGGGGAGGAGGAGGAGGAGGAGGAGCAAAATTCGAGCTCGTCTTGGACGCCGTCTGGAAGCAGTCTTGGACGCCAGAGAAGGGTTGATGCAGCAGCCCAGTGGAGGAACGGCGGGGGCCTCGGGGGGGGTTCAGCAAGGAAGGCTAAAGCCCTAAGGTTAAGTTGGGCATGTCCCTCTACAGGAGGAAATAGTCAACTATGGTAAACAAGTTATCTGGGGGCGATTTCCCGTGCTCTTGTGACAGTATTTTTGATTCTGTTCAGTGGCCCCAGATGGGCCCAACACGGCTAATACACAGCCCAAGAGGCCTCTTGGAGGCCCCAATAGAACTCAATCGTTTTGTTTTTCTTTCCGCCTCGGGTTGTGCTGGCGCACTAGCATCAAGGTTGAACGCCGCCAGTGTTAGTCGGGCCTGTCCCTCTACAGAGGGAACCTTTTGGTATCATCTTGAGCATCTTTTGAGCATTTCGAATATTTATGAGTATTTCCTATCTTTCGTCCAAAATCCCCCTGTAGAAGGACATGCCCGACTTAAAGCCAGTGGGCCGGAACCGGTCGGTGTCGACCAGTCTGCGCCACGGGACAGCCGAGATCGTTGCAGGTTGGACGACCCGCGAGGTGTCAGAAGCCAGCGCCGACGTAATTGCGACGTGAACCCGCTGTACATACTAACCGTTGTCGTCGTCGTCGTGGTCGTGGTTGTGGTCTTGGTCGTCGTCGTCATCGTGGTCGTGGTCGTGGTCTTGGTCTTGGTCGTGGTTTTGGTCGTGGTCGTGGTCGTGGTCGTGTCGTCGTCGTGGTAGTGGTCGTCGTCGTGGTGGTCGTCGTCGTCGTCGACGTCGTTGTCATGGTCTTGGTCGTAGTTGTGGTCGATTTTCCCCTGCCACCTGGCGTGCCGCGGCAGTTCTTCCCAGAGATGGTGTCGCCCACCGTTGGCGAGGTCGAGTTCATGAGCCTCTTCCAGGCAGCAGTCCCGCCCACGACTTTCTCTCCTTCCCCCGCGCTGTACTTAGCGGGGGGAAGAGGGAGGAGGACCGGGTGGGGGGGGATGATGAGTGAGGAGGGGATGATGCTGCTGCTGCTGCTGCTTCTGTTGCTTCTGTTGCTGATGATGATGCTTATGATGATGATGATAATGATGATGATGATGATGATGATGATGGTGGTGGTGGTGGTGGTGGTGGTGATGCTGATGGTGGTGGCGGTGGTGGTGATGATGATAGTGATGATGATGATGACGACGTCGATGATGATGCTGATACTGATGCTGCTGGTGCTGATGGTGATGATGCTGATGATGATGCTGATGATGATGCTCATGATGATTACGACGAACATGATGATGACGATGATGCTGCTGCTGCTGATGATGATGATGCTGACGACGCCGGTGACGATGACGACGATGACGATGATGATGATAATGCTGCTGATCATGCTGATGATGGTGGTGGTGGTGATGATGGTGGTGGTGATGATGATGATGGTGGTGGTTGTGATAATGATGTTGGTTGTGATGATGATGATGATGATGATGATGATGGTGATGATGCGGATGATGATGTCGATGATGATGCTGATGATGATTCTGATGATGATGCTGATGATGATGATGCTGCTGCTGATGATGATGCTGAAGCTGATCTGATGATGATGCTAATGCTGATGATGCTGCTGATGATGATGAAGATGAGGATGAGGGGGAGGAGGAGGATGATGATGATGATGATGATGATGATGATGATGATGATGCTAATGATGATGCTGCTGCTGCTGATGATGATGATTATGATGATGATGATGATGATGATGATGATGATGATGATGATGATGATGATGTTGACGATGTTGATGATGCTGATGCTGATGCTGATGCTGATGCGATGCTGATGTGATGATGAGGTGATGATGATGATGATGATGATGATGATGATGATGATGATGATGATGATGATGATGATGATGATGATGCTGATGATGATGATGAGGAGGAGGAGGAGGAGGAGGGAGGAGGAGGAGAGGAGGGGGAGGGGGAGGAGGAGGAGGAGGAGAGGAGGAGGAGGAGGGAGGAGGGGAGGAGAGGGAGGAGGGGGAGGGGGAGGAGGAGGAGGAGGAGGAGAGAGGAGGAGGAGGAGGAGGAGGAGGAGGAGGAGGAGGAGGAGGAGGAGGAGGAGGAGGAGTTGGAAGATAGTATGATAATCAGGACGGGGAGGACGAGGGACGAGGAGGAGGAGGAGAAGGAGGAGGATTCTGATATGGAAGCGATTTCGAATTAGGGTTACCATTACGAGGACTAGTGCGAGGATCATCATGAGAGTGACGCTGGCTGAGCGGCGGGGGCGGAGGAGAAGGGATAGTAGGCAAATCATGAGAACAATCAGTCGGAGGAGGACGAGAAGTATGACTAGAGACGAGGCGAAGGATGATGCTTTGTGATTTTTTGGTCCCAGCGTATGACTATAGAAGCCTCCGATGACGATGTTAGGACGTCAATGAGAGACAAGCGTAGCTAGGTTGTAACGATCCCGTGCGCATCTGGACATCGCCCTCAAATGCAATGTGGGCAGAGCTGCCCGAGCGTGAAACGCGAGCGCTAAAGCTGTTTTCAAATTTCCTTTTGGAAGTGTGGACATGTATTGTACCAACTGTTCAGTGTAATGTGTTCTCTGACCATCTGTTGGATGAACACATGTTCGCTTAACATCTGGCGTATCGCATGGCTTACAACCGTATTATGTGTGCATGCCTGTGACCCGAGCGTGGGTCATGTACATCTTTGTTCTCATAACATCATACCTATCGTATCCGTAAGGGCTTCGCCTTTTGCCGTCGGCCCCGTCTCTATCCGAATGCAAAATATGAGAGTCGCGTCGGGGTGTCTGGGCGCCGTCTTGAAGGCATCTGGGAGCATCATGCGGGGACAGAATGGAATCAGCAAGGCTATCATTGAACACTTTGTTGCATATTTTGAGCGTTCCTGTTGATTCGAATCGCTACTTAATCGCTTCGCTCATTCCGCCGGCCCTGGAGCGCTATTTGGGGCCTCTTGGGGCCGTATTGGGGGCTTCTTGGGGGCTTCTTAGGAGCGTCTTGGGGCTCCTTGGCGGGGTATTGGGCTCCCCTGGGGCCTGCTGGGGGGCTCTTGGGGGGCTCTTGGGGGCCCCTTGGGGCGGGAGGGGGGGGTAGTCGATTGCAGCCCCCCCCTCGGAGGCCACGGTCCTCGTGAGGGGTGTTGAAGAATAGCCTCCCCCCTGGGGATCGCCTGGGACCCGGCCGGGACCCAGCCGGGGATAAGCCGGGTACTTGTCGTCCGGGGCCCCCCAGGGGCCGCCCCGCGCGCGCGAACTAGAAATATTGTTAAGTAGTTACTGGAGATCTTAGCACGCCTCTGGCCCGTTGGGCCGGCGAATTTCCTCAAGCCGCTGCTGTTTGTGCACAGCCTTGCTTGAGGTTCGCGCGAGGGGCGCACGAGAGGAACAAAAAACAAATCTTCACTGGTTCCAGTGGCCCAGAGATCCCTCGTTTTTTTTTTTCTTTCCTCTCTCTTTCTCTCTCTTTCAGCTCGGGCATTGACACAAACTTGAGCCAAAGCCCAAGGTACGGCCATGTCGGAGAAAGGCGGCGGCAGCCAATTGCGGGACCGCAGGTTCAGTGGTGAGGGTGCCAGTGCTGTTCAGGACTACAAGGCCTGGAAAACATTGGCACGAACTAGACTGCTTGTGGAGAAAGTGCGTGGTTCCAAGAGCGAGACGTTCGGCGACATGCCGTGCACCCTTCTGGAGGGCGTCACGGTCGACGCCCGGGGGCATATTGAGTTGGAGGAGCTGGCCGTGGAAAGCGGCGAGGAGAAGTTGTTTGCCGTCTTGGACGCCAGGTACCCAGAGCGTGAGGCGGCGGATCGAGTTGGAGATGCTCTGGAGTCCGTGTTCGGTTTGAAGATCGAGAAAACAGAGCTGACAAGCGTGTATGTCGGGCGCGCGCAGACAGTCTTCATGAAGGCTCAGACAGATGGCGTCGAGATCCTGGACGTCGCGCAGGGGTTTCTCCTGCTTCGAGGCGTCCGCCTCGGCGGTAACCGGCACGCGGTGGTCTTGGCGGCGAGCGAGAGGCAGTGGGCTGTCGACGAGCTCGCCGGAGCGCTGTGGACGGTCTACCCTCGCGTGCTGTCGGAGCACGGCGTGCACGCTGTGGACGAGGGCCCCGCGTGGGAGGCCGACGCCGACGGGGTGCATCCGGAGGCCGGCGGCTCAGGGGAGATTGGCGCATTCTTGGCAGAGATTGAGCATGGCCGCGAGGGGCCGACGGAGGAGGGCGAGGCCATCCAGGTGCTGGCGACGTGGAAGGAGAAACGCGTCGCGGTCGCCGAGGGTCGCGAGAGGCGTGCGTGGTCTCCCGCTGCCGCCGACGCCGGACGTCGAGAAGTTCTCGGCTCGTGCGAGGTGTTGGGCGCGTAAGCAGGTCGGCCTTTAGCGAGGAGTGTCCCAGGCGCCCCCGGCCGCGAGGTCAGGGTCGGAAGCCGCGTTTCCCGAGCTTTGCCGGCGAGATGTTCGGGGCCATTTTTGCGGGGTTTCTACGCCGCGGAGTCTGAGGCGAAGCGTGCGCACGAGTGTGATTCGGGGAGGGAGAGCGGAGATATTTGGCGGCCAGGGGCGATCGACGGCAGCTGGCCGAGGACCACTCTGGGCAGCTGAAGGGCGAGATGGGCGACGGCCCGGGCCAGAGCGAGGCCTTCCTGGTGCATTGATCGGGATGGAAGCGCTCGAGGAGCGCGCGCGGGCGACTGGGGGGGGCGGCGCCGCCGAGGAGGATCGCGAGACGGTCGCGTTTAAAGGGTTTAGTGGCGATGAGCAGCTCTCAATCGGCGCGTGCGTCGCCCCCTGGAAGCTCGGTGGGCGCGCGGGGCGCGTCGAGGTGCGCGTTGCCCCCGGATCGGCGGGCTTCTTCCCGAGAAAGCTGATGCTGACGCGATTCAGGTGCGACCTGGACATGTGCAGCGATGACTTGATCTCCAGGTGGCTGGGGGTGCGCGCGCGGAGCTGCAGATGACCGACGGGGGCCGCTGCGAAGTGCGACTCGACGAGTCCGCCGTCCATCCGCTAGCCGATCGGGATTTTCGGCGCGGCCGGGCCGCGGCCTTGAGGCCCTCGAGATTGCCTTCGCGGGTGGATAGCTGCCCCAACCAGTGATCATGGAGGTGCCCCCCCGCCGAAACTGACGATGCGCTGAGGGGCATGGTCTCGTGGATAGTGGGGCGCGCGGGCTGCTCGCCAGCGTGGGTGCGTGGAGCGGCTCATCCGCGATTTGGAGGTCAATGTCGCGTTCGCCTCCGCGCGGGAAGTCGCCCTCGCTTCGGGCGTTGGCCGCCAGGGAGCAGCGGGGGGGCCCGGGGAAGGTCGAGCTGGAGGTCCAGGAGGCCGTCCTTTTCATAGCCCTATGCTTGGGTGTTGCGGCGAAGCAGGTGATGCGTGGGAAGTATTTCGTTTTCGAGCACTCGCGTGGTTGTGCAGCGCGGGGCGTGCGAGGCGCGGCCGCCCCCCCAATTTTCCTCGCGGAGTTCGGTCCTTCCGCGGCCGAGGCGGCCGCGAGGAAGTTCGGTGAGATGGGCCTTGAGTCGGGTATTCCTTTCAGCAAGGTCCGGCATTCCATGTCGGACCTGCCTGGGGTTTCGCAAGGTGGGCCGCCAGTGCCAGGGGGTCACGACAGTCGAAGCGTGGTCGACAGTGCTGGAGGAATGGGGCGTTCTGTGTGGCCCGAACAAGTTGACTCGGGCTCTAGTGCGCGGGGCCCGCAAGGTCACCCACGAAGCGCGCGGCCCCGCCGCCGAGGCCTTCGCCGCGGGCGATCAGGAGGGGGGGGAGGGTCAGGGGTCCAAGGAGGCGGCCAGCAACGGCGGGCAGCCGGGCCCAGCGCGCCGCCGCGCGGACCCCTCCCACGGCGCCCGTCGAGGACGACGAGGCGCAGGTG